CAAACTCAACACAAACGCTAACTTAAACAAAATCGCAAACACAACTCAAACACAAACAAAAAATGCAAACACAAACGCAACACGCAATCATAAACTCAAAACACAATCGGAATCACAAATACAAACACAAAAGAAAACAAACGCAAACAAACGCAAACTCAAACAAAACGCAAACACAACGCAAAACACAAAACACAAATGCAAACACAAATTGAACAAAAAACACAAACATAAAAAAACGCATACTCAAACAAAAAACAGAATACAAGCGCTTTATCAAATGACTTTATGAAACAAATGGCCGTGCATACAAATGCTCTCACGCATTTCCAAACAACACGTTTTCCTGAGCATCCGCACCCAGTAACCAACTTTCCCACAGTCGTTTTCTCAGAAAAAGAAAAAGAAAATAGTATGAAACGGAGTAAAAAATTTGTAAACAATCAAAAATTGAAGTCACATAAATAGATCCTACTCTATAACTTACAATAGGACAATGTACGACAAATGGTGTTTACCTTTATGGTTCTAAGAAAACACATTGGCAATGTAATTAGAAAAACAGCCGAACTGCACGCTTTTCTAGGCGCCCGTGCCTAGAGAGAGCGTTTCCGACATTCTCTAATTTCACCACCCATTTAAAAAAACACCGAAAAACAAAACAAAAAAGTTATTTCGAGAGATCAAAGACTAATTAGAAAAAAATATAAATAATCTTAACATTTATATATTTTAATTATGAACATTAACATATAATAATCAATACGGTAGTAATAAAAATAATGTAACTAAAATTATTAAGCGTGAAATGAATTTCTTTTTAAATTACCTCCCTTGATAAAATTACAAAACAGTTTAACTAATTAGTTTTTTCGAGCCTACTATTATTAAAATGTATAATTATTTTCTTAGCATATACACTACAGTATTATTTAAATTGGTCAATTTCATACATTTTAAAAATGTGCGTGTAGTTAATATTGTCTTTAGGTTGTGCGAAAAAGTAAAAACAGTGTCAACTATACAAACAATTTAAGTCGTTATATAAATAAACCCTACCCATATATTGTTACTTTTATGAATCTAAAATCTATAGCGATGTCGGAATGACTGACACACTACCTAGCCGCTTATATTATAGTTACGGGTTTTGCGTTATATATGTAGGTGATTAACCTTATAGATCGATTCGGGTTTTACACTGTATATTTTTTTTTACTTTATTAAGATATACGGTTGTTACACTAAATATTTAGGTGTTATACTTCATAGTGATATACGGGTTTTGCATTATATATGTATTGTTTAAATATGTTTATGTCTATTGTTTACAATCGTAGAGCCGGGTTTAGTGACGACTATTAGGGGCAGATAATTTAGTTTGAAATGATTTTAAACTTAGGGGAGGTAACTAAGTGGAGTTTACTTTCACGGGGGGGGGGGGGGTAGGGGTTGGGGAAAGGAGGGGGGAGGAGGGTAGTGATAGTGTTTCGAAGCAAATATGTTCAGTAGCAGCGTTGATACTGTCGAATTCACAAATTATAAATTACTGTAAAGTAGAAAATAAAACAACTAAATAGCGGCGTATGATACGCCGCGGGTCGGCTCGTATATATAATTCTCTTCATGGAGACCATAGAAAACAACAAGCTGCTTAGCCACCACCCTCATATCCCCACCTGTCAGTTGAGTTGTGGTTCACATCGAATGTTTACAATAGTAGAGCCGGTTCGAATAAGTTACGGCTATTAGGGGCAGATAATTTAGTTTTAAAAAGAATTGAAACTAAGGGGAAATAATAAGTTCTGCTTGATATTTTCATTGTCGACTGTAAACGGCTGCTTTCACTGGGCGGTGGGTGGGGGGGGGGGGGAGGGGGGTAGTTTCGAATTCACATATTATGAATTGTTGATAAGTAGAAAATAAAACAACTAGATAGCGGCGTATGCTACGTCGCGGGTCAGCTCGTATATATATATATATATATATATATAATTCTCTATTGGTCCAATGATGCGGGATACCACGCACGCACGTCATCTCTCTAACCCTTCTCCTGCCTCCTGCACCCTCCCTCGCTCTCCAGGCATGCGCCGCATTGTGCACCCTCCAACTCCATTTGGAAAACTGTTACTGTGTCTTTCATGAAGTCTTCATCCGTCAAAAAATATCGGCGTATGGTACGCCGCGGGTCGGCTCGTATAATATAAAATGTCTCAAATCCAAATTTTAAATGAAGTAATTTTTTAAAATTTTAAACACTTTTTGTTTAGATCGCTGAACTAGGTGTCTCCCAAGAAACTAGAAATGAACCTGATAAAAATTATTTTGCGACAACATGCGCCGCACAAATAACTCGACTAAGCAATGCTGGTGATTATTCCATCCAGATGAGAGTCATTCATCCAACATGGCCGCTTCCTGGGGACTTTACTTACCTATACAATTTTACACTGAGTGAGTATGGAGTACTCTCCCATTAAGACTGTAAAAACAACAGAAGGGAAATAATCGAGATATTCTTTTATACATTTCTTCAAAAATAAAAATTGCGAATAGATAGTCACTCCGATTTTTCTCATAAACAAAAGAAGATGTATCTTTAAAAAAAAAACTTGTGGAGGAAGTGTAGTAATCACAGCATCTTAAATATTTCCTATTAACTTGATTAGTGATGTAGCCTATTCATTAGGTGATCAATTTGAGTTTTCTCCTCTCAGATTTACCTGCCTGTCCAGTGGACCTCCAACTGCGAACGTCCAACACCAGTGTTGTTCTGACATGGACTCGAGGCCCCAACAGTGGCCTGAACCAGACGACACTCCTCTACACCCGCTCTAACGACAGCTCGGCTGATGATCTGATAGGAACTGTCGATGACGTCACACGTGACACACTAACCTACCCACTACGTCATCTGGACCCAAACACGACTCATGTTTTCTCTGTTCACGTGAAAAATCTTCTCGGTATTATAAAATGTCCAAGTCTTGATGTCTATCTGTTAAATTCAGGTAATATGTCCATATTTTAGCTGAATTAAGCGGTGAATTGTTTTTTGGGTTAAAGGTATTACGTCGGTATTAAAACTAAATTGGTTAATGTAATGTGTGCTTAACTCAGGTATTCGTCAATTATTTTACCTGAATTAGTTAGTGAATTAGTATAATTTAAACCATAGTAATGTATCTATATTTTAGCTAAATAGATACATTTGTCTAAAAAATGAGCATGTTTAACTAAGATGTGTATGTGTGCGCGAACTTGCTTTACGAAATAAAACAGCAAAGAACAAAGCAGAAAAATCATATTATCTTGAAGAATGCATAATTTCTTTATTTATAAATATTTACTAACACCCTAAAGCAAAAAAAGAGAAATAATAAATTAAATTATAGCACAACACACAAACGTATAATCATATTTTTTAATTTAAATTAATGACTAGATAACTCTAAACTTACTTTTTTTTTCAACAGATTTAAAATTGTTGCTGGCTAAAAATGAAACATACGCAAATGTTACAGAATATTTTATTGATGTGGTTGATAATGCTACAGATGTTGAAATATCTGATAAGGAAACAACAACAGAAACAATAATTACAACAACAATGTTACCAGAACCAAGTTTACTTCAATATATCATCCCTCCTGTTGCTGTGGCTGTTGTTACTGTTGTTGTTATTTTAGTTTTATGGTTTAAAAAAGGTAAGTTAAAACCACAAAAAGCAAATTTCTTTAAATTCTTGTCGGAAAATATTCATTTATAATTCTTTAATGAAATAAAGTGTGTGCACATAACTGATGATATCTAACGCACCTAATAATTTTAAACACAATTATTTAACTTCTAAATAAAATATTTAACATATAAACTATTTTGCATGAGACACACATTTTGGTCATAGTAACATAATTTTGAAATAAATTCTTATATTACTTTTTAAAATAATTGAATAAGTAAAAAATATTTCGTAACTATTCAACGATTATTAATCTTTAAATTTTTGTATTCATTTAGTTTGTTTGAAACATAATTTTAACATTACAAACAGGTTCCTTCAGATGTAAACAACCAACAGTGAAGAAACAAATCGTGACCAGCACACACATAGCACGTCAACCAATACCGACCCCACATGAACATAACATTGGGGATGGGTACCTAGTGGTGCTTGATTCTAGGGGGGATTCGAACCAGAACCTACAAACACACGATCAGCTAGGGATAGAACCTTGGACAAGCAGGTTCCACCATTCAGCCAGAAACAGACTGTCAAGTTCCGTCTTAAACACAGCTAGTTTTGATGTTGGAACTGGCACATACTACACGACTGTTGATACTCAGGAGAAATATATTGACATAAGGGGAAATAATACAACACAATGTATGCTCGTAGAGTCAGACATAAACCGTATTCATCTAGCTAGCAACGACACAGTTCTATATGACCCCTCAGGAAGTTTATTTAGTCAGTCAGGATACACACGAGAGAAATACATTGACATACGTACGTGTAATGCCGGACAACCAACAAACTCGGAGCAACATGAGATTATCTCAGACAACATTCATGATCCAATAACGGAAGTCATTACGACGGGGCTAAATCCAGATGTGCACGACGCACATGAGACTAGCCTTTCCAGTAATGTGTATGAAACTATAGACTACACAAATTCATTATGATCATTGAGAGATTGAGTTTGAAACGACTCGCTTGATGACAGCAGGGAAGTAACTAAACATGTTTCATCAGAAATTACGTCTTGTCATTTAGTACACACGGGGAAAGACATAGACATTAGCAGGTACAATGCTGGGCGGTTAACAACTTCTTCAAATATTCTTTAAACGTCGACTTAAGATGATATTATCAACAGGTTGGTCAAACGGTCGGTCAAGGCAACAACAAGATCCACATTCACGTTTTAGTAACACGCAGTACAATCTGAATGTTCGAATGTATGTCATGCCATAGAATCCACCTAGATATCGTAAGGAACATTGATTGATTTATTTGTTTATTTGTCGTAGAACTTTGACTGAACGATAATACTGTATTAATATGATTCTACAAGTATCAAATTAAGACTGCGAAGTTGATTTTTTAAATATATTAGCTTAGTACAGATAATTATGTATTATTTTACTTTGATTGGATTAAAAGCAAATGCGTTTTAGATCAAATCACTGTAATGTTTTCGAATCCACGACAATAAATAGAATCATGAACGAACTCAATTTTTTTTACTTTTTATTAATAAATACTCTAAGTGTGTTAATAATTCAACATTTACGTTCGTGCAGAATTGTTATTATAATAATTGTTTTTTAAATGAACTCTGCATTGGAATATCAGACTTGCTTTTTAAAATTTCGTCAATGAAATATAAGAAAATATACAACTTGGACGCTTAACTTTTTATGAAAGTCAAGAATGTCTTTATGTGTTCTATTTTGTAATCTTCAATCACCTTACACGTAAAACAAATTGAAGCATATACTCCGACCTGACAGTAATGAGGAAGTAGGGGGTATCTGTTCGTGGAACTTAGACATAATGTTTATAATCAATGTATAGAATCAATGACAATGCTGCGCTGGGTTGACTTTCAAAGATGCAACACTCTGCCGTAACATGCAAAAATCAATTGAATAAAGAATAATACACTTATTTAATATGAATGAAGTTTAGACACTTGGTTAGCTAAACACTAATTAATGTGCATACATCTTGTAATTTTCCTGTAATATGTACTTTTCGTAGATGTGTTTTATCACACTTTTGATATTAAACATTTAATCTTCTGAAAATCATATAATATTCTACGCAAGCGTACAACGTGTTTGTCAGTTCAAAGTTCTTTAAGACATCAAGCAGGCTCTATCACATTTTAAGACAAGGAATTGTGTTAAACATTAATTACCACCCATTTCATATTTATAAAGGCTCAACATTTAGCACGATACATAATGTTTCTAAACTGTATTAACTGGATCCAACACAAAGAGATACAAATTACCGTAATTGGCGACCAGCGTGTTTTTTGTATTTTTGTTAATGTCGTTAGAGTTCAAGTTCCCACGTCTGTATACGGCACTATGTCCGTTAAGAGATTAGCAGCAGGCAGGTGTTGTGCACACGTGTAGTGACACAAATTATGTTTTATCCGGGATTAGAACCATCTCCCTCGCGTGATACTTTCCCACGGTCGTCTACCCTCCTTCTCCCGCCCGTCAATTACCCTCCTTGGTAATTAATACCCCCCGCTCCCCAACCCGTATCCCCATGAAATATGAATGTCTAATTATTATTTTCTGAAATACAAAACGAAAGAAAAAATACATGCATTCACGTGACCCACGTCTTGATGTGTTATTCACGTTATAAAACTAAAGAATTTATGTCTGGCATGTAGAGTGTACGATAATAGAAACACTGCGACAAATCACCTGTTAGGGCAAGTTGACATTATGAAGTAAACTACATAGGTAAGTTTCCAGGTAGTACAATTCAATTAGATTTCCCTAGAAAAGCATAGTTATAAATACATTTAAAAAGGCTTTTCTATGCAGTGGCGTCGCTATGTCGGGTTTCACCCGATGCGGCACCTCAAGGTGTCACCGCCTCACGCTTTATTTTCTTTGTAAATTATGCTGTTGGATTCAGGCAAAATTAATAATTTAATGTGTACATATAATAAATTAGCTCGATATTTACAGGCCATAAACTAAGCCTAAGGTGAAGATCCCCGTTAAGAAATTAAACAGCTTCTATTAATAACCTTCGCAACTCTGTTATAAAACTTCATGAACCTTATTGCTTCACGTATGTAAGCTCAACGCAGCGGTAGGTTTTGTTTCGCTTTCGGTTTCCTCTTACTTTAATAAAGGAAAACCACTTAACACATGACCCTTCCGATCGTAAGTTCAACTGCTGTGAAAACTGAAATAACAACTACACAGCCAAGTACTCGTCACTCGGTTTACTTGAACGATTTTGAAACGCTTGGTAAGGCAATGGTTTCTTAGAAAAAACTTACTAAATAACAGACATTTGTTTTCTAATAAAAACACATTACACGATTTTTGAACCACACACTGGTAGACGTAAAAAAAGTAAAAAGATATAGACTCTATGCCTTAAACACCTGTTAAATCTGGACGTGTTTTCTACTTATATCTATATATATAAATTACAGTACTTGTGAGATACGGCGCCTAAGGTGACTATTATTTGGTAAATGGATAATTATAAAACTTTTTATCCTTTCATTTTTCCTAAAAGTCGATAATATGTATTTAAAATTTCACGAAGCGTGACGATGTTTCAGTTCAAGAATGCTCAAACATTTCTACAAAGAAATTGTATTGACTCTGGTTTTTGGTCTAGACATCACAGGTAAAATTTAATTTTTGAGAACTTCGGAAACTTTATTCAAAAATTAAATCATTTATTGTACTGTATTAGGCTAGTAAACGCGAAAACACACATTTTTTAAATTTTGTTTTCGGCAGCAAGTTTTTTGTGCCATCTACCTATGCAGTACCACCCCCGCACACATACCTGTGTGTACCTGGTCAAAGAGAAGATGACGAAAGAAAATGCGGCGCAGTATTGTGCCAGACAGTTTAAGGGCGGCCTAAAGGAACTATCACACGGAAATCTGATGTGCATCTTCGATACAGAAACAGAAACATTTGTTATAGGTTGAGTTTAGACCTATTTCTTTACAAATATAAATAAATAAATAAATAAAAAAATAAATAAATATATATATATAAGATGTATTTATATACACATTAAAAAGTACATATTTATACATCCACGTACACGTACACGCACTCGTAGAAGGACAAATACAAGTACACGTACACGTGCACTTATACATAGGCCTACATATCTACATATGTGTGTTTTTTCTTAAACTTTTAGACATCTTGACTAAGAACAATGTGTCAGAAGCCATAACTGGTCATTATGATTATAGGTCATGCCGAAATATAGGAAAGCCATATCGTTACGTAAGACAATAAAAAATTATATGATGCTATATATATATATATATATATATATATATATATATATATATATATATATATAAGTCTGGTTCGCAACATTAATTATACTGTACTGTGCTGTGCTGTGATGTGCTGTGTTGTGCAATGCAATGCAATGCAATGCAATGCAATGCAATGCAATGCAATGCAATGCAATGCAATGCAATGCAATGCAATGCAATGCAATGCAATGCAATGCAATGCAATGCAGTGTAATGTAGTGTAATGTAATGTAGTGTAGTGTAGTGTAGTGTAGTGTAGTGTAGTGTAGTGTAGTGTAGTGTAGTGTAGTGTAGTGTAGTGTAGTGTAGTGTAGTGTAGTGTAGTGTAGTGTAGTGTAGTGTAGTGTAGTGTAGTGTAGTGTAGTGTAGTGTAGTGTAGTGTAGTGTAGTGTAGTGTAGTGTAGTGTAGTGTAGTGTAGTGTAGTGTAGTGTAGTGTAGTGTAGTGTAGTGTAGTGTAGTGTAGTGTAGTGTAGTGTAGTGTAGTGTAGTGTAGTGTAGTGTAGTGTAGTGTAGTGTAGTGTAGTGTAGTGTAGTGTAGTGTAGTGTAGTGTAGTGTAATGTAATGTAATGTAGTGTACTGTAATGTAATGTAATGTAATGTAATGTAATGTAATGTAATGTAATGTAATGTAATTTTATTCAGACTCGATACACCGATCCAACATTTACCTTTTCAAAAGATGGGTGGAGGAGAACTTTTTATCTTGTTGCATCATTTTTGTGTCAAACAGAGTCAGGTACGTTACTGTTCTCTTTTAGATCACTGGATTACCTCTGCTTTATTGTGGTTTTGTTAACGTTTTTTTTTATTTCGATCGGCTGTTTAACATCCACGTTTTTCTATTCTTTTGATGTAATAGGCCAGGGGTTCCAACCCTATGCCCGCGGGCGCCATGGCGCCCGCCGAACGATTCGTATGTGCCCGCCTCTCACAATATTGACAGAGACAGAATTTTTTTCATAAACATTATTGAAAGGTTGAAGGGGATGGAAATCGAAAGTTTGAGGGGGGAGGGGGGTGCAAATCGAAAGTTTTGTCCCCGGGTGACGGGAAGGGTCGCTACGCCTCTGGAAGGAGTTTGTCGATTTAAAATAGGTGGTGCCCGCCACCCTACCGATATTTTAGAATGTGCTCTAGAGTAAAAAAAGGTTGTGAACCCCTGTAATAGGCTATCTTTTTTACCTAAAAAAAGAAGAAAATACAGTACAGTATTTAATTTTTTTACGATTAAGACTAGTGTTAAGGTTAAGATTCAAGTTACGGTTAAGATTATAGTTCTATTTTTTCCCTTATACATATAAGGAAATTAATCTTTTTTTTAAATACCATCCCTTATAAAAGTAATAAAAAGGTTTGGTTCGCTTTATCTATAGCACGTTGTCAGTGAAGAAGCCCTTACAGAAATTCTTTTAGCGACATACGCTTTTCTTTTTCCTTTTTTGAAATTCTGATGCATTATTATTTATTGAAAAACATTACTCGTGTTATTATTTATATCTTCTATGTCCAATTAGTTATACTGGAGCAGTCACTGTCTTGCCCACCCGTAAAAGTACCCATATGGGACATACACCTGGATTACCACGTCGAGATAGAAAACCTGATACGTATTCTCGACATCCGGTTGTGCCTGGGCACCCAACCCTGTTACACCGACCGCAACAACTACCTGCCCAGCTTGTACCAGGTGAAGCTGGACAACAGGACAGACTCCATGAACTACCAGCTGACCATCACCCAGGTCACTCCCTATGACGAGGGTATCTGGACCTGTTTCGCTAGGTTTATTACGGAGTTTGGTGAACGCGAGGTCAATGTCAGTTGTTTTTTAAAAGTTTACGGTAAGGTTGAAATAATTCTATACAAATATAATGCAAGCGATGTTCTAACTTATAAGTTTACCGAATTATCTCGATCCAGTATACTGTA